GGGGGCAAAGAAAAATTTTCTTTCTCAAATTTTGTTTCAAACTATTTTGGTTTTTTTTTCTCTTTTTTTTTTCATAAGGCTTTTGCGCCGTTATTCTAACGTCGGGAAAATGTATGTTTCTTTTTTCTCCCCGGACAGCTCGTTATTTCAGGGAATAATTATAATAGTATAGATGACGTCAGTTGCTCAGACCGAGGCGCCACGCCAGTCCCGCGAGTAAAAGATAAACTGTAACTCAACTCCGAGGCACTTAATATTTTTCTATGGTCGTGTTACGTATTTCACCCCAGGGCCGTATCACCGCAAATTTGCCTTCTTCCCTGTATCGTTATTGGTGGTCGGGCGGGTAACGTCGTCCCGACGTCCGATGATGAAACGTCCTGTAAATCAAGCATAAATTACCGTCCCGCCAAGTGGTACGATAAATTCCTCCTGTGATTTTCTTGAGTGCCAAGTGTGGCTCGGCTATACGTGGCGCAAAGACCAATGCACATGCGACGCGAGTAACGTGCCGGCTGTATATGGTCTACGGCAGCCTGTAGAGTCGGAGACAAAAGTATAGGATACTCGGTGCAACTGCGTTAACCCCGAAGCTGTAGAAAAGCTCTGGTAGGTAATGTACTTGTAGCGATAGGAAAAATTTTCATAGAATTTTCGCGTCTCTGAAACAGCCTGTACGTAACGAGTCTTTATGTATATACATACGTATTAGACGCGCACGGCCCTAACTGTAAGGAACTTGGGTGCAGCTACTTTTGAGGGATCCTTTTGCAAAATTTCTTCAATTTCTTCATTTAGCCTTCCGGAAATTCACTCGAATTCGCGATTTGCGCAACGACGCTGCAAAGGGTAACCATTGCTGCGTTCTTGCCGCTGCTGGTTCCTTTCGTTGCAATTTTCTGGATGGCTCTGGTACCGGGGACTATTAAAAGAAAATTCAGAGAAGAGCATTCTCCGCTGGCTTCGGTGCACATTTCATTAAGTGCATCCACTGCGTTTCTTATTACGTTCGTTGTATAGGTATGGTATTTAATATGCAGCTAGGTGGATATATATATATATATATATATATGTATATATATATGTATATATAAATATATGGATGGATTTAATATTTTCATTATTTGTATGTATTAAAGTATCACTTATAAAATCCTGTGAATTTTACATTAATTCCTTAAACGCTCGCTTAGGCGGTTACCTCGATTCTCCCGCTCTCCTACCCTCGTGCCCAAACCGGACCCCGGCCCCTTAGGCAATTTTTCAAAATAATCGCACCACCGCTCCTGCCTCCGTAATAGTGGCGTAGGATGCGTAAATTACCCACTCCAGTCTCGGTAACCGTGTAAATATCAAATTATAATTTGCCATCGTAAATTCCTCCAGAAGGTCGAAAATGGAGGTTTCGCCACGGTTGCGCTAATGGGCCGTCAAAATAAAATAATACCGATGGATATTTTCCAGGGCCGTGCCTTGCGACGTAGAGAGTGGGTGTCAGAGGTGAGGTGCGATTGAAAATCGAAAATGTGCTTTGGGATAAAGGGAAGAAGCAGACGAGGGGAATGAAATATTTTTTGAAAAGGACAAATTCCTGGGATTCTTTCGCCTGTACGGGGCTTTGCCGGTTACGAGGACAGAATTTAAAAATTTTTTTGGTTCCTTTTTTTATTTTATTATTTTTTTTTTTACGATATGTGTGCAGCCACCGATACATTGCACTGGCGCATACAGTGTAGTTTGGATTTAAAGAAAATTTGAAAAAAATTTTTTTTTTAATAAACGTCTTTTATATTCTGAAGCATTTATCCATGTTTTTTTTATAACGATCACATATTTTATTTTTTAAAACCGCAATGCGCAATACGCAGGGAACGACAGTGCAGCAGAGTGAACTCTGTGAGAATGAACAGGACGTTCTATTATATATATGTACAATTATACATATATACAGAATCATTCACGGAAAACGCACAAGCTGAAGTTGGACGCGATCGAACGATTCTGTTAATCGAGGCAGGCCTCGTTAAGCAAATGAAATAATGTGAAATTCATAATCTTAGTAATTTTATGACATTAATTTTAATTTTTTTTTATGACGCCCACCCTGATCCAATTCATGAAATTATCCATTCGCGGCCAATTTCAGTTGGTGCTTTTCCCGTGAATAAACCTGTATACAGATTTAGTATCAGCATTCGGTTCACAATTACGTAAATATTAGCGAACGCGCGTTGGTGACGCTGACGCGAGAAAATTCGTGGATTCGCGTAAAGCCGTGTGTACAGTAATTAATATTGTTTTACTTACCACAAGCGTATAATTGTTATAATGAAATATAATATTTTGCATACGGCCTGTGTACCCGCATAGAATAATAAATACCTGTTATACGTACAAATATTCCCTCCTAACCCGTACAGCATACCGGGAAACAGTAGGTGTCTAGTGGAAAAAAAAGTTACTAGAGGAAAACATGAAAAATAACTTCTTTGCACAGTAATAATTGAGTCGAACTCAATAAAATATAAAATACGTAATTTTGGGGTCAGCCGCGTACTTGGAAAAGAATTAGGAGTCAGTCTTGCAAGATTAATTTTTCTAACGGAGACTAGCTTCATTTTTCATTTCAGATTAAAGCCCATGATCAAAGTAGCATTGGTACAGTGGTGCCAACCAACCCGCCTGATAGCCTCATGTCAGCCTGATAGATACGGTCCTGGCCACGTCAATACGGTCGTTTTCTACTCATAGTCTTAAGGGTAGGCAGGGGTGGCTGAAGTCGAGCTGATTGCAGGATCTTAGTGTAATTCCAGGATAATAAAAGTCCTTATAAGGGATAGTCTGACTATTTCCACGGTCAAACCCTGATTCTTAGCCGAAATTCACCGTCTAGAGATTTCTCCACCTATCATCCCCATGTCTTTCCCATCTGAAGTATACGGCACTGGGTACCATATTTATATTCCAAGCGCGTTTTTTTTTTTTTTTTTTTTTTTTTTTTTTTTTTTTTTTTTTTTTCGTGACACCCCGTATATACCGTATGACAATTTTGCTACAAAATACCTGCCAGTTTGCTGTCGTCATTAGACCTACCGAATAATCTACGTGTAATGAAAGCCGTACGACCATCTCGGTTCATTATGCGATTCTAACCACCCCCCGCAACCCCGATGCACAGATGCACATGCAACTGCAATTTCGCATGCTCGACGCGAACGATTTTGCAAAGTGGAAAAAAAATTGTTCTCGCAGAGATACGTATTATTATTCCTTTGTCTCGATATTTCCCCTACACCGGTGCATCGGAGAAATATTGTCCGAGGTCAGTGAGAAAAATTTTCGAATTTCATTGAAATCGAAGTAAATTCAATTATCGGTAGTAATCGATTAAAATGCGTACGACGAAATACTTAAGGTATCGTCCTACTGAAATTGTAATTCAATGCACGTTAATGCACCGCAAGGCACGATGCATTATCTACGCTCCAGTGCACCTTGAGATGCATCGGATTTCATCGATCCCAAAAAAATTCCTAGTTACGAAGCTCCAATGCAATTCCGCGTATGCGCCTCCAGTGTATTACAGATATCAAGCACAGTTGCCCAGTCAGGATATTTTATATTCTCAATGGCTTGACGTTACGTGTGGATCCCGGACTTGTGTAACGATGCATTTTATTGCACAAAACGCCCGATGCATAACGATGCTATTGCTATTCAATGCGCGCCTTGCAAATGGTAATTTCAACGGGGACGGAACTCTCGGCTGTCCATTATTTGTTTGTTGGTACGCCTTCATCAACAAGACACAAATAACAATCATAACGTTCATGGTTCATTCGTAAGTAATATATATATATATATATATATATATATATATATATATATATATATATGGGTTAATCTTTCGAATATACATATAGATATATTTTTCATCGTTAACGATATCTACGTCATTACCAACTGAGATATATATATATATTAAAAGATAAAATGTCCCCAGTTCACTTACAAGCATGGTAACTATTTTCTTACAATTCTCCCCTTGTATTACGTCCATTCATCCTGTCTTACTTATCTTCTCTTACTTATCTTCTCCTTACAAGCTTTTCCACGACGCCTCGGTACGTGACCCTGAGTACGGTAGGTTCAGGTTAACTCCATCTATGCCCACGTGTGGCCAGTATAGGTGTTTTGGCTCGTTTTCATGAACGATGCGCAGAACAATCGGTACGGTCCGACATAAAACAGACCTGACCTCACTTCCCCAGGATGGAAAACATCCCTAGTAGAGTTCCTAGGGGAAATAAGGCCCCACTTTCAGTTCGGTACGAGGACACGGCGACCTGCGTTTAGTTTAACGACGCGTTGTAAAACTTTGTGATTATTACGCAGCCCCTCCCCCTCC